CGCTCTCCGCTATTTTCATTTCTCAAGGAACGATCCTGTTCGCATATTTTTCTTTTTTTTTTGTCTTTTTTTCTCTATCTCTCCCCTTCCCCTTCTGTACCCCCCCCCCCCTTATTGCTCTTTCTCTTTCTTTTTCTCCTTCTCCCTCCTCCCTCTTTTTTCTTCTTCTTCATCTTTTTTCTCTTTTTTTTTTCATATGCGTGCACGCGGGCACGCGCATGTGTGTGCGCGTATATTCGTGCGTGTGTGCGTGCGTGCTCGCATGTACGTGCTGTGTGTGTGTGTATGTGTGTATGTATGTTTTTTTTTTCGTTCAACCACCTCACATTGAGTGCACGGACTCTCTCTGTAACGGTAGTTGAATAGTTTAATGAGACTCCCGCGCATAAGTACGCTGTACAACGATTTGCATGGGGCCTTAATAGGATTTCCAATGGAATTTTCTCTTTTTTTCTTTTTTTTTTTTTTAATTTTTTTCTTTATTTCTTCTCCTTCTTTTTCTCTTTTCAATGTTAAAACGTCGCGATACATACACACGCTCTCTCTCTCTCTCTCTCTCTCTCTCTTTCTCTCCCTCTCTCTCTCTTACTCATTCACGTACATGCACGCAAACACACACACACACACAAATACACGTGTATATTTGATTTTAAATTGACGTGACATACATATATATATATATACACATACATACACGTATATACATTTATATGTACATGTGTATACATTGGATTAAATATTTGAATTTTTTTCCATGTACGTGGGTGTTCGGGGAAGAAGACAGCAAAAAAAAAGAATAAAAAGAAAAAAAAAGAAAAAAATATTGGTCATACATCGCTCCGTTGCGATTTACATTTATCTTTAGCTTTGCACTACAATCTTTTTTTTTTCTATTTCTTTTTCTTTCTCTTTTTCTTTTTTCTTGATGGCGCCATATTGACAGATGATCTTTCGCTAATGAGAGATAAATACATAGAAAGATAGATAGAGAGAGAGAGAGAGAGAGAGAGAGAGAGAAATTTCTCAATGTTTTCCTTCTCCTTCTTTCATTCCGGTCCCCTTTGGCCCAGCCGTCACCAAAAAAAAAAAAAAAAAAAAAAAAAGAAAAAAAGAAAAAAGAAAAGAAAAAATAATGAAAAGAAAAAAGAAATTAAAGCAAAACAGAAAAAAAAAAAGAAAAGAAATGAAGAAAGTAGAGCAGTATTTTAAGCTTAAAATCGGGGTGCGCCAGCAGATAGAGCGTCTGTTGCGTTGAAAACAAATTATGCAAGAGAAATATACAAAGTAGATACATACCTACATATACTTACGTGCATTACAAATACATGTATAGTTGCATACGCATGCGCAAATACACACACACACACACACACACACATATAACATATACACATTATACATATATTACATATCATATATATATATATGCATTCATACATATATATATGCATACATGCATACATCGTACATGTACCCATACAAACGTACGAACGTACAAAGGGGCGCGCACACGCCTCGCGCGCACGCTATGCCGCATCACGTTTTTGGCGTAAGACGGCGGTTGATAAAGGGAAAAAAAAGAGAAAGAAGAAGAAAAAAAAAAGAAAAGGAATGAGAGAAAGGATGAGAGAGAGAGAGAGAGAGAGAGAGAGAGAGAGAAAGAAAGAAAGAAAAGGAAGGAAGAAAATGAAAACAATAAAAATAAAATAAGGATAAAGAAAGAATCGGCAGACAAAACCCATGTCAGTCAGAAAATGACTCGAACGCCGCAATGTCTGGTTTCTTTTCCTTTTTTTTTTCTTTTCTTTCTTTCTTTCTTTCTTTCTTTCTTTCTTTTGCGGCGCGTACTTTTAGAAAAGACTTCTTTTTTTTTTTTTTTCTTCTTGGGCGAGGTGTTAGGTGCGAGGATTGGATGGGATGAGATAGGATGCGATGAGGATTGGATAGTGGTGGTGGAGGAGGAGGAGGAGGAGGAGGTTACGATTATGGTAGAAACAAAATAACAGAAGTTATTGGCAAACAGGATCGTTTGATCCTTTCCCGAATGAATTACGAAACGATTTCCTTGGACTATCTTATTTCTTTTTGTTTTTGTTTTTTCTTCATTCTCAATCCCTTTCCTTCAGCATCACCCTCAACACCCTCCAACCCCCCAACCCCCTTCCCAGCGTCCCAGGATCCCGCCACATCTTGGTCTTTTTGCTTCCGTCTATTTTATTTCCCGCTTATGTTCTACGTTTCGCGCGCTCGTAAGATTTATAACGACGTCGAAGAAACGATCTCTTTCATTGCTTCATTATATTCTTCGTTCTTTTCTCCATTTTGTCTTTTTTTTTTTCCTCTTTTTCTTTCTTGTCTTTTTCTTTCTTTTCTTTTCTTTTTTTTTTCTTTTTTTGACTGTTGGTTTAATGATTATGGGACAGGGCTATTGAAAAAAAAAAAAAAAAAAAAAAAGCAATGACGTTTGAGATTGCGTCTCACTACTCGTGAGATAGACAGA